ATTTAGGTATACACCCATTAATAAATTTAACATTATTAATTACATTTCGTTACATTACATTACATAACCAATTAAATTGAATTTTATTTACCGAATATTATAATTATTAATGAAGTAAATAATTAAGAATTACATTAAATTGAATTGAATTGACATTAGAAATAATAGTATAACAAATAACAATAATTAATTTATTTAAATTTTAAAATGGAGTGGTCACTTACAAAGTAGCACGCATCGCATACTGTTTTTATAATTATATTAACCGAATCGCTCACTCTCACAACAAAAGACCAATATCTCTTCCGTATTATGGCAAAAAAATCGTCTACTCTATTCACGGCAAACATGCCAGACGCACTACACCGCCAGGGCAGCCGCAGCATAGCGCGAAATGCATTATTGTACTGAACTCTGAGTCTATCAAAAGCTCGCTTAGTGTAATGGTACCACAACTGACTAGTGTAGAACGCCTGACAGTAAGCCCTAAACAGAGTTATTTTTACTTAAATATATCTGTATGTAAAAATTCTTTGCTAACAATGATTGTACCTTCATTGATTGTAGTTCAATTACATGGCATTCAAACATGCAGTACTTGGTGTAACGGGCTGGTGTCCGCAACTCCATGTCAAGGCGCCTAACATACAACATACTCGCACGGTTGTAAGCAGTAGGTCTGCCACGAAATCCGAAATACGAAACAACGATCATCGTGTTAGCTTCATATTGGACGAATGCTACCACGAAACGCTTTCATCGGATATCGGACCCCCGAATGGTTACACATGGCGACTTTTGGCAGCGATGCAATAGCGTGTTCGTGAAACGCGCGAGTGCATTGCTAGACTTGCGACTTATAGGCGATTGCATCGATGCAAACGCGCGACTGTACTTATCGATACAAACGCGCGATTGCACCACTGCAGTCGCCTATAAATCCCAAGTGTAGCGATGCAATCGCGCGTTTGCATCGCTGCTTAGAATCGCATGTGTGTAAAGGTAAACTACTGCTAAGTCGCCGGATTTGTGTAACCGCTCTAAATGCGCCCGAAGACCGTGATTTGACACAAGTATCTGCGCAGGGACCCAGACGTATATTGAATCAATATAATATAAAGTACAAATTACAAGTAAGTTGTTATTCCAGAATGTAGACACATCTCCCTGTCCACTTAAACTTCAAATTCATGTCTACACCGCTTACCATACAATAATCAAACGTTTAAATTGTATTGACTTGCTGTTGACCATGCCTCATACTCATTAACGAAAAATAAAAATTAAGTTTTATTGAATGTCAGGGATGTTTCACCACCATGGCATACAATTATTTTTTGTGAAATTACTTCACTAGTTTGTTATAATTATTAATACAAAGATCGAACACTTAGAAAAAAATCACTTCGATCAAGTGAATTAAAAAATAAAAATATCGAAAAATATTATTGTTTGCTTTAATTTTATTTTATTATACATTTTAGGAAAATTCACGGACAAATAATACAGTTATAGTATACTTAAATATGAGTAATCCAAAGCCATTTACGAATTTCCACCAACATGAAACAATATAAAGTGCTTAGCAAGTCAAAAAGAGGTTATTATTATACTTTAGTAAATAGTTAAGTTACATTATTTATATCGCGCCCTTGATGTAACCTTGATCACATCTACAAAAAGAGAAATTTTCAGGAGAAAGGTTCTACGAACGGAATAGTAACTTTTTAATGCTTAAACAAGAGAGTTTAAAATTACACACATACATAATTTGTTTCATATATTTCGTATTTTTTTAAGAATTTCATGTGGTAAAGCACTTTTGGCGTACAATCTGTACATTTGGGTTTATTATGCTAAGAATTTTTCTTGTTATCGTATCGATGGCATACACTATAATAGTTTCCATCGAAGTGAAAGAATTTGCCAATCGGCGTAAACTACTCGTCGATTGCTGCCCAGAATGCGCCAGAACTACAAGATTTACAGAGACAGGGCCCGGAAAGACGTCGAAGACAGGAAGATAACAAACCGTGCGATCAACGATGGGGCTCAGATCGCGAATCTGAAATGGGAGTGCGCCGCTGAAATGGACTAAACGGGAAGAAGGATACTCAGTTTACCTCCAACTAGATGGTTTAATAACATTTAGGAGACAGACAGAAGGGCCACTATGAATCAGAAGAACTATCAATGCGTCAGATTGGCACAAAATTGGAAAGGCATATGCTCCACAGTGGACAACCCTGTGCTGATGAATAATAAGAAGAATCGTTCGCAATACCGCAATCGATACGTTTTTTTAGTCTTTTTGATAACAAAACTCTTTAGGACTATTTTAATTGGTGAACTCTTCATTTCTTCCGTAATGTAACAGTATACAGTTGTTGATTATTATAGAACGGCGACCACGTCAAGGAAAACGTAGCGTAGAACTCCCTGCGGTAACATGGACAGACGACCTGAGAAAGGTAGCAGGCAACGTTTGGATGCGGGCGGCACAAGACCGGGACAGTCGGCGTGCTCTAGGGGAGGCTTTTTTTATAATCTCAAGTGACATGACGGGACGAACAACTCGTGCGCCTGGTGGTAAGCTACACGCCTATCCATAACGGTTGCAGTCCCACTAAGAGCTTTAAATCGCTCGATCGAAGATCTAAGGGACACTGCCACTGCGGCCGTTACTCTGAGACATAACTTCAAAACAGGCTTATGTCCAGCAGTGGGTGCGTGTAAGCTGATGATGATGATAGAGAGTATTCATTATTTGCTACACCCTAACGGGGCATGTTTGTACCTACTTAGTAATTACTTGTGTAATGGCGTACTAATATTGTTTGCAACAAATAAATAAATTAATTAATTAAGTTGAAACCTCTCAACTCGACTTTGTTATCATTAAAACTAACAATCGTTTGTCTACAACTTGCTCGTGTTCGATTATAAATTCAGAAAAACATTTGTTGATTTTTAAAATAATACTTATAACTAGTAAATATTTCGTAAAGTACTTTTAAGAACTTGAGTTTGAGTCACACACAAAAGTAAAAAAACTTAAAAAAATTATCTTGCTTACTACATTTTAATATGGGTGCATTTTATTTTGAGGCTAAGTTTAACCGTCCAAAATATCTTGCATGCCAAAGACCCGAAAACTTGTTAAACCCTTATTCAAAACGGTGCGCCAGAGTATTAAAAGCCAACCTTAAAAACATGTAATAGTCCATAAATTCTACTTAATCGGGTAGCCCTTACAACGACGTTTTATTAAAAGTTGACACTACTACGTCCTACGAGTATCAATTAAGATTTTTGTTTTTGTTTCAAATATTATTATCGTATTGTATTTTTTCCCCTTTTCTAATTATCGAAATCTTGGTGCTTTTGACAAAGGAGTGTCGGTACAAAAAGTATTTGTACGTTACTATTATGAATATTTATCCAATCTGAACAGAAAAATCCTCCTTCAAAATACGTTTCAAACGATGCGACAAATCCATTCAATAAGACTAGACGAAATTAGAATCAAAATTTAACGGATTTATGGATTTCTATTCCAAAGCTCCTTTATCTGTCGTTTAAATTATAACGGACTGATGTATTATAATAAATATGTTTACTTCCATGTGATATTATATAAAAACAGTTTGTTTTTTATTTAAAATAGATGCTGGATCACCATCTCAGCTGATGTTTGATGATACACCTAATTATTCAAATCCAAATTAATGTTATAAATGCGAAAGTGACTCTGTTTGTTACGCTTTTACACCTAAACCGGTGAACCAGTTTTGATGAATTTTGGTATAGAGATATACTACAGGAGAAGAACATAGACTACATTTTGTCACAAAAATGAATCTTAAAGGGGGTGAAATAAGGGATGAAAGTTTATATGAAGAACCAATAAATCTTCGAAAATTTGTATAGTGCTCGAAGTACTTATTCAACGCAGACGAATTCGCGGGCACCAGCTAGTATACAATATATCTTCAATGTATTCAGTAGCAGTAGAGCTCCTTGTGAAAGAGTTCTTCCAGTTCACTGCCACCTTACATATTTCTGCCGTCAAGCAGTAATGCTCACATTACTGCTTTCCTGCTTCGGTAGGAAAACTGGTGAAATTACAGGCACATGGGACTTGTCAACTTAAATCCTAGGGTACAGTGGCAGTGCCCTTCCGATCTTTGTGTTTTAAAGCTTTGAGTGGTACTGCAACTGTTATGGACAGGCGTGTCGCTTACCACCAGGCCCACTTTTCTTGTTCTTCCCGTCAAGAGGAATTATAAAAAAAATTGCACGCTTTAGGCTCAATTTATATTGTAGCGGAATGTAATGGAAGCGAGTTTTTGTAACGATATTGTACATAGCATAACGAACTTTATGGTCAATTTTGTAACGTACATACTAGATATACGAGCCAATATCTTTCGTTCGAGGAACTCTTGCGCATTCGCGATAATACAATATCGTTACAACAATTCGCTTCCATTCCGCCGTAATATAAATGGAGCCTTATTGTTTGACAGAAGTGAAACTATACTTATTTTGTTACATGTCGACTTCAGTACTTCATATAAGCAATAAAATTAGTTTTTTTTTTTTTATGAAAAAATAAGTGCGAATTTAAACTCCATCTCACCTGATGGAAAGTTACACGCCGTAATGTTCAAGGAATAAGCTATAAAAGATTTAATATAACTATACATTTTTTAAAAGATCAAAAAATTCAATATAAAACTCTCCTTTCGAAGGCATTATAATCGCCCTCGTAAATCACGCATGTATATGAGGTCCGTATACTAACATATTTAGTGCGGTAAATGTGTTTTGCACCAAAATAAATTTAATGGATGAGTATGAAATGCAAATCAGAACTGGAAGTATCGGACAGGGACGGACGCGCGGAGAAGACGCGGTCGCAAGTGGCTCTACGTCAGCCGAACTCTCCTCACTCGAGAAATATTTCATCTGATCAATTACCGATTGTCACTCAGCCATAATGCACGCACTCTCATTTCTCCAGCGAGTGCTCACGTACTTCTTCTTCTACGTCCTTGTTGATACTAAGGAAACTCACATATGGGGTAAGAATTCTTCCTTATTCTTTTAGTGAAATCTTAGTTTCATGACTGATTCATGTCAATGTGATCAAGGTGGTTACTTTATAAGGGTTCAATGATCCTATTTCCCGCTCTAAACTTTTTTGGATTCTGATGGACAGTGAAGTGTTTGCTCGTTCTGTGAAGCACTATATGCGACCTCTAAGCGCTAGTGACTGTTTAAAAATAAAACTTTATTTAGCTACATTTCTTACTACCACTTTACATAATTTTACTAAACAAGATTTTTTTAAAGCCTTTTAAAACTATACCTACTTAAAGCAAAATAAAAAAAATATATTTAGACGTCGCCCCTGAATGAATATGCAAAAGTTTTTACACTTTTTTTATCAGGCAATAACATTTTATTATCTATTTTAAACCTCCTAATTTCTTATCACGATAGTCTAATTTAATGTAACTAAAATGTTTTTCCCAAAGAAAACAAAACATACAAATTACGCACAAATAAATCAATACACTTAGAAAAATAAATTTGAATTTTATTTACGTTCACACAGGTTAATTTTTTCCCAGTTTTGATAATACACGTTTTTTCAATTTGACAGTCGATTTGTTTATAAACAATATTTTTATAATCGTTTACACGGATCAACCCGTAACGTGACTGTTCGGAAATATCGTGAGAAAAATAATAAGTCATAATATCTTGTGGCAAGCCATTCCTAATCATAGTAATAACCGTTTAGAGAATAACTACGAAAGTCCCGAACTTTGTATATCTTCATGTCATAATACATATTTTATATCTTCTCTATTTTCCAACATCTGTAAATCGACAGTAATACTATTATGCCTTAATAATCTTCTAATAGAAAATGTCCCTATAAGTGGCAATTTGTTTCCAAATTATTAAGCTAACAATCCACTTACTAATGAGTTACTATACCTACACGGTAATGTAAATACTTGTATGTATAGTATGAAATTGACTTTTAATAAGTTTTACTGTGGAAATAATGGCACTATCAAATACGGACCATAAATCATCTATAAACATTCTTATAAAAGAATTAACTGCCTCCATGGTCTAACATGCTGGACTGCCATGCAGAGGTCCCGCGTTCGATTCTCGGCCGGTGAGAAATATTTGAACGACCTACATTTATTTTTCTCGTGAGCTTGGGTGTAATTTGTGGTTGTCTATGTGTGTGATCATGGCACCCGCGATACAAGATTTTCCCTAGTGCGGGACTATAAGTGTGTGCGTCATTTATTATTATTACCTTATAAAAAAATATTGTTGACCATTGAACCTTAATACTTTGAAGTTTAAGTGTTTTTTCGCAGTTTTTTAAAGTTGCAATTTGCTATTACTGAGTGAAGTGCTTTATTGTGAATGGAATTCGCTCTGGGACATTACCCAGAACCAATTCAGAAAAGTTTCCAAATTGGTCCGGCCGAGAATCGAACCAGCGACCTCCTAATCCAGCGCCCATAGTGCAAACCATTGAGTCACCGAGAATAATTTAGTGATGAATTGTTGTTAAACAGAAATTATTCAATCCACTATCGTCTAGTTTGTTCAAATTTTACTATTATTATGTACTCTTTTTTGTGGCCTTTCTAAAAGATTTTTTTTACTTTGATTTATTACACTAAAACATATTCATAATCATAATTTTCATTTAGAGCTTCACTTACATATTATATTCACATCAGCACATGCACTTACGTATCGAATATGTCATTTTAATGTTTTAGTGCACTATTGCTTAAATAGAAAAAAACTTTATTTACCTTCGTGACAACTTATTTACAAAGATCAACTAAAACGAATACTATAATTACTATATTAAACCACTTAAAGAAATAAAAATTAATAAAAATGTTCACATTTTATTGCATTTATTATGTCAATTAATAATCCACTCCTCGTTGTTTATATTTTTGCTTACAAATAACATCTAGACATTTAGTCCCTCTCGTTGGTTTTGGCTAAAACCAGCGACTTAGGGAACTTCGGCATATGCTGAGTCAACGCCCTTTCACTGCTAAGAAATAAATGTTTTTTTTTTGCTCTTGTATTTAATCTGTATTTATGTCATATTAGTGAATAAAGTGTCTATCTATATATTTATCTATCGTATCGCCCAATATATAAATTTGTGCTGCATATGTGTTTTAGTAAAAGTTACTTAGCCCCGAAAATAATTTTTGTGGACAATTTTTTGCATAACTATGCCCAATTAGTTTTATCCATCGTGAAAAATAGCTATGTTTTCAGAAAACTACATATCAAAAGAGCCAGTATTTAGTAGTCGGGAGCTATATCCTCATCTCAACAAAGAGGTTCAGAAAAAGATAGTGCAGTACCACAACTATTTTCGCAGAGCTGTGCGACCGTCGGCCTCCAATATGCTGGAAATGGTAAATATATCTTATAGCATGCGAAATACATTAGGATAGAAAGTTACGGAAAATACGTGGAATTCTGTACTTAATATTTTCAACAATAAAATCTACTTTGGACATTTCTTTACGATCCTATATTTTTTTTTAATTGGTGGGCAAACCCTTAGAGGATGGAAAAAAAAACCGCTTGTCAGTCATTCAATGCTCTTTGACAGACTTCAATTAAGAATAAGAAGATTTTTTTTCCATTCTATTATGTAATTTTTTTATAACATCTAGTGACGGGACGAACAAGTCGTGAGCCTGATGGTAAGCTACACGCCTGTCCATAGCAGTTACAGTGCCACTCAGAGCTTTAATTGCAATATATTAAGTAGTGAAGGCACCGTTCACTTAGGTATCCCGTATTTGTACTAAGTGCTATATAAATGGTGGATACCTAAGTGAGGACACCGACTGTACCTTACGTAATTTTCATAGCACTCAAATTAGCTATTTACAAAAGTGGCAGCAGTTACAGATGAAACAATCCACTTTTATAATGACACTGACCTACGAAGCTTTAAAAACTATTATATGACTACTTATACAGGGTGTAACGAACAAATGCTAAAATACTTTGAGCTCATTACGAACACAAGTAAGTTTTGTTCTACAGGTTATGGAAATGCATAAAACATTTTGTTGTCTGCACGGACAAACTTTATGAAGTACTCATCCAAAGACGTGTGACTAGCTGATTTTTTTTGTGAATCAACTTTGTATCAATAACAATACAAAGATTGAATAAACACAAAGAACCATCAACGTTTTCGCACAAACCGGTTCTATTGCTCTTCCAACTGAGCTACGGAACGAGTAGTGGAGTATTTACACGAAAAATATATAAATTTATTTAATTATTAAGGATTGCCAATAAAGGTTACAACTTTACATACACAAACATATCATACTCCGGGGCAGAACAACATAAGCTTTAAAAACAATAAATACTTCATAATTAGAAGGTAATTGCTACTTCAAATAAAGGCAACTACAGCGTGCACTTATATGAATAACATCATCGTAATATTCAATAAAATAAACGGAGCTCAAATGCGCACGTACATTTGTACATAATTTTTTTTTTTGTGAGCTTTTCAAAGTTCTGGATCAAGAGTACGATGAACTTGACACTTAAAAATTTAAATTAAACTCTATGCGTCGTGCGATAAAAACGGTGCAAAGTCCAAAAAGTCAAGCTTGATGAGCTTTCGTCGTACATGAGTGCAAAAAAAAAACTAGAATACTTGTGCCTTTTTGCTAAACTAGCTCATCTACGCATAATGCACTTCCGGACATATAATTCGAGCCACCATGCATTTTCAATATTAAATGCTTAGCTTAAACAATGCTTGATTGATCAAAACTGCTATTAAGTAACTTTGAAACCGATATATTGAACGTCATTTCCTTAAGTCCTTATCGAAAATTTTTATTTCAAAAACCTGAGAAATCTTTTTCTTCGATGATAACTGTGTTTTTATATTCTAACCCTTTAAGGATAAAAATGCAAGGTAGCTCGAATTATGTGTCCGGGAGTATATATGCTTTTTGCGTCTCATAGGTCAGTGTCGTTAAACTGTAGGTTTTTTAATACCATTGAACTTTGTTTTCGACGTAACAGACATAGACCGAGAGGTCACACAGCACGTGTAAATATTTCTCGGCACTTTTTGTTGTGATATTTTAATAAAGAGTTAAAATTGTGGTATTTGATAACGTTTCAATATAACGTTTAATTGTCTCTTATACGTCTTATTCGAAAATACTATTGTTTAAGTGTACAATTATACATTGACTTTGTGAAAATATCTAAAAATCACGTGCATAAAAGATAAGACATAAGTCAATCAATGAGTTATTGGTTTGTTACGATTCAATTTTCAATCTCTTTTATTTATTTATTTTTTATTTATTATTTATTTTTTTATTTGTATTCAGGTTACAAAACCCAGAAATACATACTTTATAGACTAACATGCATAATAATACAATAAAATACACTCCCCGACACATAATTCAATCAATTCAATATTTATTAATTCAATCCAGAAAAATGTTTTGTCTGCACTTTCACCCGTGCGTGTACCTCGTCACACGTACAATGGGTACCTACATACTAAATCTATGCGTACAATATATGCTTGCAACGGATTCAATTAACCGTGTCTTCTGTATAAAGGATCTTGGTGTAGTCTTTGACTCGCGCCTCACTTTTCATAACCATGTCATGACAGTTGCTGCCGACTGCTTTAGGAGACTGGGATTTGTAATCTGCAATGTCAGAGACTTTCATGATCCTGTAGCTATACGAATGGTATATAATGCTTCGGTAAGAAGCAAACTTGAGGCTTCGTCTCCTTGTTGCATGTGTGGCATCCGCATGAAGCTACATATTCATTATTAATAGGAAAGGTCCAAAAAGCTTTCCTTAGGTTTTTATATTAAAAAATGTATGGCAACTACCCGTTTCTCTATCCGACGAAATATTTACTGGGAATTCTTCAATATAATTCTGTTGAGGTGAGGCGGCACAACAACTACTTGTCTCAGTTTGTCAGGTCTTACGCGGCGAGTTGGATTATCCTGAACTTGTGTGGCAACTAGTAAGGTTATTTGTCCTAGACATCCTTAAAATAGTTCTTAGAGTGCGACGTCGTGAACTATTATCTGTGCCTTTTTCGCGTTCAGTATCGCATAGGAATTCGCCGTTGCTCCGTGCCCTCACAATGCTCAACGAACTCTTGGCATCAGCACCGGAGTGTGATTTGCTTGCGTGTCGATGGGCTGCTGTACGTTGTGAATGCTTGAGATTCTGTGAAATGATGGATGCTAGGGAATCGAGTGTATAATTATAAGATATTTGTCATTTGTATTTTAATTTTATTTTATTTTATGTTTTATTTCCTTTTTATTTTTATATGTTATTGCTATTTTTATAATTATTATAGTTTACACGGTGCAATAGTTTTGAACTGTAATACCGTGTAAATATATTTACGATAAATATTTAAATCTTTGCGATTAAAAGCTCTTAGCGGCACTGTAACTGTTATATAAACAGGCGTCTTGCTTATCACCAGGCGGACAACTTGTTCGTCCCGTCACGTCTTAAAAAAAATCTTGACTATGCTTGTATTAAAATTAGTTGAGGTTTCATTCACCGTTATTTTATAATAAATTGTTTTTCGTTTTAGACATGGTCTGAGGAGGCCGCAAGCTTGGCTCAGTTGCACGCAAGCCGCTGTGAATTTATAGAGCACAGTCGAGCGCGTTTTAGAACAATACCAAATTACGGACAGTGTGGGGAGAACCTATTTGCCTCTAAGGCCGTTTCGCAATGGTAAGTTGATGATCTAGAATGCGTTACTTAACTTTTAAGAAAAAAGAAACATGAGGCTAGACACAATTTAAAACCTTAGTTAGTTTCAGTTTCCTGTCAAAATTCTTTATTTAATCGAATTTCGGCAGCCATTAAGTGGAAAAGAAGAAAAATCACATCTTAACCTCCTAGGGCCTCGTGTAGGTGTTTCAGACCCAGACCATAGTATAATAACACAAATATGGTAACTCCATAGAAAGTAGCAGCGCGCCTTGTATTAGTGCATGCCCGCCTCGCGCCTTGTACGGACGCACACATTGGCATAATAATAAAAGGAGTTTGGGACGACCAGCGTTATACAACGCGAATGCATCGCGAGATTATACGAACGCGCGCGGCGAGTGCGCACACATGCAAGCCAAGCTGCTACGTTTGTATATAGTTACCTTACTTGTGTTTTTTACATAATTTCAAGTGACGGGATGAACAAGTCGTGTCTGTCCGTAACAGCAGCAGTGCCACTCAAAGTCGTAGCAAAGATCTGAGGGGCACCGCCGCTGCGCGCGTCACCCTGAGACATAAGTTGGCAAGTCCCATGTACCTGTAATTTCATCAGCACCCTTACCCTTCAAAACGGGAACGCAGTAATGCTCACATTGCTACTTGGCGGCAGAAATACGTAAAGTGGCAGTACTTCCCTGGACGAACTCTTTCACACAGAGCTCTACTGCTACTAAAACTGTCTTATTACACCATTCCCAGACAATATTATTCCTATGATCATGAACAACTTTAGCTCTATTTATTGTATAATGACCAAAGCGTATTTAGAAAAAATGCTTTTTTCATTTGAAATTAAGGGCATACAACAACACATTTTATTAGACGTAATATATAATACATCTTAACGGGTGTTTAACACTTTCCCCTATTTTGCTGGGTCTTAGAAGGAAATATGAATATTGGACCTTTTTTGGCTCATAGAGCTACGTTTATAAATTACACCTTATTCAAGTATTAAGTAATTATTTTTAATGTCGATAAAATCCAAGCCATTCAAGTCGCTTTATATTATTGAAAAATCGTAAAAATGAGATCGTTATTTAAATATCGGCAATCGAATTAAGTAAGTATATTTATGGAAACCTACACTAAAAATCATAGCGTGAACCGGTATAATTAGGTGTTAAAAGTACATACGATTAACATTTCCCGTATTCATTATTTTAGGAATATAATTTGAAACTAGTTCATGTCCTTGATCTTAACTTTTGTAATGCGATTTTGTTACAAAGCATGGAGATTGCTGTGAAGCCCTACGATAGAAATAAAAACAGTTAGGGCGACCATGATATATATATACTCAAGTGTAGGGTTGCCATTCGCCTGGATTTATCCGGACTGTACAGTTTTTAGACCTTGTGTCAGGATTTTGTCAGGATTAAGAAAGAAAATTTTCTGAAGGAAAAAGGTTCAAGAAATATGATATTTCCAAAGCTAACGAATTCTCATACAATTTGCGATTCAAACACAATAAATCAGTATTAATTCATTACTAAATTCAACTAATTGCACAGAGTATGCTGAGTATGGTTGAGCGTAGAGCTGTGTGAATGTAATATTCGATTTTATTTTGTCATAGAAATGTCCTGACATTTTTATGAATCTCAGGATTTATTTCTGAATGGCAACTCTACAGACAAAACCCTATCATTTAATACAATTGTACTGTACTGCATTCCATTTAGGAATTTATGTGCGAAACTTAATTTGAAATTTACAGTTAGCTTTTCGGTGAAACAAAACTTCGTGATCAAACCTGCACGTCGAAGAAAGTTCAGTAGTGCGACGTACAAATGGGTTGATGTTGCATTCCATTAGTACATAATTCTATTAACCATTTTAAGTTTAACAGTGCCAAATACCTAGACAATAAATTATTGTAATAAGAGTAAATAAGGCAAATAAAAAATAATACAAATAAATGCTTTTTTATGAACAGGTACACTGGTATAGAAAGTTGGTTCAGTGAATACGAGATGTACCGCTATGGGTCGTCGTCCATGCAGCGACTTTACGAAGAGATAGGTCACTATACGCAAATGGTGTGGGCCACCACTCACAAAGTTGGATGTGGGATGGAGTACTGCAAGGGTGGGCCATGGGAAGATTATTACCTCTACATTTGCCATTACTGTCCTGGGTAAGTGTTAAATTGTCTGTACGGGTTAATATATTTTAAAGAATTTTAAAAATCTGGTTACTTGTAAAACTGGGTGTGAAAAGTTAATATAAGTTTCAGAATCCTGTGTATGTCCCACCCTGTATGTATGTAAACACAAGGTGCGACTTTCATATGGTTTAAAGCCTGCCTTTCGTAGTAAAATATCATTTAGAATTTAAATTCTATTTTAAAATTAAAACTATACTTGAAACTTTTGGGTACCAAATCACTTGGTCAATCATTTCAAGTAGTAGCTAGTAATAGAGTTCGTTTAGAGAAGTACTGCTACCTAACCTATATCTGCCGCCAAACAGTAATGTGAGTGTTACTGCGTTCCGGTTTTGAAGAGCGAGGTTGCTGGTGAAATTACAGGAACATGAGACTTGTAAACTTATGTCTCAGGGTGACAACGCAGTGGTGTCTCTCTGACTGTAATGTACTTATCCTTGCCGTGCAGTCTAAAGGTCCGTTGCCTTTCCGCTGCCTGGTATTTTTTCATATTTTTTAAATTTATATATGGTAACCATAGCCACTATTTTATTAATATTGTCCCTATTGTGTTAATGGGTAGTTTGAATTCTCTGTGGCTCATTTATCTACGATATTGAAGTGTTGTGTCTTCACCGCATATCAGTAAAACACTGCGTGTATATGGAAGCTGCATCTAGTATGCTAGTATATAAACATCGTTGTTTGTATATTTAGTGTATCGTACGGTACGTATACCTACACAACTGTTTAACATATGTATGTTGTGTACCTTACAAGAAGGGTCACGCAAGCTTACGAACATAAATATATGGATGAGTCAACCGGTCATCGCTCTATCTGTGAGTGGTCACCCTAAGAGCTCGGACAAAGACCCCGCGCTTGATTTCCTTAAAATATTTATCAAAACATTTTATACTCTCCTTAAATTGTCACATCTCTTTTACTACCTCGTTTAGCGGATGATTGTGATTTTGATAACTTTACTTTAGTGTTTAGAATGCACTAATGTTTCTTAGTGCTTTTTGTAGGTACAATTTAATGACCTTCTTTTTCGTATCGTGACGATATGTCTTTTATTTGACTTCATTGACTTCGAATAGTAGGCATGTGGAAATAATCAGAAATGATTTTAATAACCTTCAACTTAATTTTTTGTACCATTCCACCAGTCTTCTGTGTTTAAATTCGAAATAAAGAGTCTGAAAGTTATCAATAAACAATAATGTTTAGTGGCGTTGCCAAATAATTCATGGACAGGACAATACATCCCTACGCAGGACAGCTTGTCGAAGTAGTTAGTATGTAAATCGTGAATAAATAGTTGATGATGACCAAGAAACGTACATATATATTATGTACTCCATCTCTGACGAATATTTTTTTCCTGGACCATTCATAGTAATATTTCACTTATGTATCATTCATTTTCATTACCAATGCTTGGAATGTGGTGTTCAAAATGGGTAAATAAATGTCTACATATAGATACAAGGAGTGACGTAGAGTTAAAACCACAGAATATGAATTAATTATTTATTCGATTTCCGGAAATAATTTTACTGCATCGTAAGATAAAACTATTCACCTAGGAAGGTGAAATTGTATTTTAAAATAATTATTAAATTAAATTAAAATTAAAAATTATTTGCTAACAGACAAATAAGTCCACATCATATTAGTCACAAAACTTAAGAAAATATGTTACTAATGTGTACGCTAAAAAACGGAAATTTGAATTTAATTTAATGACATGCACTTTCTTTATAGTAATAACAATAATAATATTAATACTAATATATTTGGCCATGAGACAGGCGAGAATATAAACTAGATGTCCGAAATAATAATAGTAATAATAATTTTTTTTTATTTCATTTCGCTTCGTTTCGTTTCGTTTTATTTTATAGATAAGGTACATCAAAATTTAATTGAAAGCAAACAAGGATTGTTAATTAATACGGATTATTGTAAATACTTTATTATCCTACGATTCAGTAAAACCATGTCCGGAAAGAAAGACCATCTGAAATACCTTTTCATGAAGAACACTTTAGAGTCTATTAATTAATTTATGAACGTTCAAATTATTTTCATTAATTTATATTTTGTTGACATACTTGTGTCCTATTTCCTCGTGTCATGTGTTTGTTTCCTGACAACTTATGACCATCATGAGATGACAAGGTGTTTAATAGCAACCTATAAAGATCCTTGATGAAGAACAATATTTTAATATAATTTAATGGTAACAATATTCATTATTAATGATTTCTTAATTTTATAATTGTTGTGTATTTTCCGTATTATAATTTTCATTTTTTTATAGTTTGACATGTAGTCATATGTAGTGCAATTTATACTGTAACATTATATTTGAGACACGGATAATCTAATCTAATCTAACACGAAACCAACTACAATCTTAAACACCACCACCAAAAATGTAACCGACACGTGTTTTGCCTTTCTACGAGGCATTATCATATTTTTTTCCTCATGTGATATTATCGAGAGTTGTTAATGAATGGTGAGAAAATTAACTACACGAATAGAAACTCAACACAAGCGCAGACTTTTTTGCTTGATTTAACCTTGAACCTTGGTTCGCGGAGCAAAGTTTTGGTTTTTGCAAAAGATTTTGCAAAATTGTTTTTTGCAAAAGATTTTGCAAAATTGTTTTTTGCAATAGATTTTGCAAAATTGGTTTTTGCAAAATTTGCTTACATTTTTAACTGACTTCGAAAAATTCTCAATTCTACTGTATTTCTTTTGTGCGTGAATGTTACGCGATTACTCATTTCGTGAACCAATTTTTTTGGTTCTTTTTTTATTGGAAAGAGGGTACCGCCTTGAATGCCTTGCTCCTTTATCGGTCTCATTTATGTTTGAAGAAAATAATTTAAGGATGACAAACTTGGGGATGAATCCGATTTCGAGCACTTTTTTTAAAATATTTCCAATAAAACTTGGCAAATAAGTGTAATTCCAATAAAAAAGCCGATAAGCAAACTTTTGAGGTCGGGTTTTTAAATAAAGAAGTTGTAATTATAAAAATTATTTTATATAACGAATTTGTATTCGTTATATAAAATAATTTGTATGGGTTTTATTGGTTTGTATTGAATTTGTATGGGTTGTCCCATTTTCATAGAAAATACATGATTGGATTAAATTAGAATACGTCTTTTATTTCAGTGGAAATCAAATGGTTGAATTCCCTTACAAAGTGGGACCGCCGTGTGCAGACTGTCCATCCGACTGCAACTTATCCCTTTGCACCAACTCGTGTTCAAGACAAGATTATTACGGCAACTGTGATCAATTGGTACCTGATGCTTGTAACGAGGGAGTATGTAATGCCACTTGCGAGTGCACTGGAAAACTATATAAAAATTATCCGTGGAAATATAGCACTTAAAGTTTGATGTTTTTCCTTTTACTTTGCTATCATCTCCCAGGCTAAACGTTTTTAGTTTTATTTTATTACTAAGTTTATTGAATATTACAATGTTTTACTATTTTATTTTTCGTGAAATTACTCCACTAAGTAGTTTGTTATAATTATTAATACAAATTTCGAACATAAAGAAAATTTTACACAATTCGGCTGGATTCGAACCAGCTCCTTCACCATACCGTGGCTAACACTTTCCCATCTTGGCTACGGAAGAAACCAGCAGATCTTATGAATTATTCTATGTGTCTGCTGCAAATCTACAAAAAAAGAAGGAGGTTTTCAAATTCGATTGTATTTTTTGTATGTATGTTTCATGTTTTGATTTTGATGATTTTTTTGTGGGAAAGCTCACCTCAGCAGTTGTTCCATTTAAATTGGAAGAATTTATTGCACCTCTACGGGTGGCAAACTAGGCGATGAATCCGGTTTCGCGCCCTTTCCGGTAACCGATTTCGATAAAACTTGGCAAATAGATGTTATTCCACGAACTTTTCAGGTCGGCTTTTAAAAAAAGTTATTATAAATGAAATGAACTTATTGTCTTTATCGACTTTTTGCCGTAGCGCCACCTGTGAGAAATCTATTTATAGTTTGTCACAAAACTGAATACGACACTTGGCGTAATAAGGCCACTTCTACAAAATGACAACTTGTTAAGAGAGACGTTAAAAGATTCTACGAACGAAATTAGGTGATAACTTTTTATGCTTAAATAGCTATAATATTTGATATACATATAATTTATTGAATATAATAGAATAGAATAGATATTTATTGCAACGCCACAACACATAGATACAAAAACAAATTTATAACACAGACAAGCAAAACAAAATAAAAATAATTAATAAACAAAATAAAAAATACAATAAAACGAAAGAAATAACATAAAATAAGACAAAACTGACAAAAAGAAAAATATATAACGACTACAAATTCTATACTGTCATTTGTGCGCTTGTGGCGTACGCAAAAGGACTTCATTCAGCATAAGCCACAGCCATAATTGACTGTGGCGCATGTTTTCAATGAGCCCTGATTGCTATTGCATGAAGTTTGTCTTATTTTTATGACTTTCATGTGATAAAAGCACTTTTGACGTATAATCAGATGTGGCTTTGTTATACCATAAGTGCGAACTGTTTGGTTACAAGTCAGTATTTGCGATGTTACGTTTCAAATCTTTAGCTTTCACTACAGTATGCGGAATGGTGTCAGGGCTTTCCATTTTTTTTATTACTAAATTAGTTTTGTTTTAATTCGCCTGAGAAGAAGAAGTCCTCGCAAACCAAATTTCAACCAGTTCCACGTGTTATATTTAAATGTGACATTAGTTGACCACTGACATGACAAAGCTCGGACATGCCCTGTTCTGGTCTGGCATCCACAATTTTATTTTACTACTGGCGTGTATCCTTAATTAATTGTTCATTGAAGAGGGTTGTTGGTTTGCCGGCACTCGGGCGCAGCAGGTGAGTCATCGTTTGCAGGTGGGGTGTGCGCCGACGCGGAACCGACGCCTCTCGCTCCTTGCCCTATTATGCGCAGACAAGTCTGTCTGAAAGTTAACCAACATTATGATATAATACGTGATTAATATTTTGGAATAACACAGCACAGATTTAGAAATACGTTGTCAGTTACGTGGTCATGAGCAGATAACCCACCCTACTATGAATAGGCATCTATTACGTCTTCTTTCTATATAAGGGTACTTATGCATTTCGACATTTTTTGCGTGGAATTAAACGGCCGGTCACTAAGACATTCTTCAAGGTTATTTATACCAACGTATGAACGCTATTATACTAGATCAAATTATATCCCATTTCTATGCAACGGTGTTCCCTTATGTCCGAGCAGCATTTTTCCCACCCCCACCACGTCTCCGACCCAATTGTAATGCAACGGCGGGTGTGGAGTCCGGCGTGCGGGCATTGTACCGCCGACATCCACGCCTCGCGTCCACCGGCTTCTCCGGCTCGCGCCATGGTGTGCGACGACGGGCTGCACGCCTCATCGCCTTCCGCGCGGCACAAGTCTCTCCGCCGCCTCGCCTCTACCCGCGGCTTCAGACCTCGCCCGATACAAGAATCAACCTGGATACGCGTCTTTGATGGCCTCGAGCCTTTCGCCGTCGATGCACCCAGCAAACTTGTCAAGGTCACTCTCAATTCCACCGTTGAAGAGGTAAACAAAATACTCGGTTTGAACGATGAACTCACATTGTGGCGACAAATTGGTGCTGAGAGACCTAGGAGATTGGATTTTGACGAGTATCCCTTGCGTATACAGGAGCAATTTTTGGTCACGCAAGGATGGAAGTCGGCGGATAGAAGACTACGGTTGGCTGTAGACCCAGAACTGCGACATTCTATACGTTTTTCGACGGGACCTGCTGCAAGAACTGTTGGTACGCCAAGATCTGGAACGCTCTATGTTCTTAAAGGGCATGTTTTCCCGCAATGGAAACCTCGTCTTGCGTTTATTCTTGGATCTCGATTGCATATGCACGGTATGTCTTACATATTAATATATTATTCATAATTACTTATTAAGATACCTATCTATGTAGGTTAGAGATTTTTTTATAACTTCCACCTGCGCTCACTGTCTCTTATTACCAGTACTTTAATAAATTAGCGTTAGGCGTTCACCGATCAGAATATACGTCTCATGTGTCCTGCAACCATGTGTATTGGACCATGATTGGACCAATTCAGCGTTCATGCATATAATTTCAATCTATCGTATAAAACCATCAAATCAAATTGTAGCAATAAAAGTCTAGTTTTAACAAGTCTAAATAAGTACAAAGACTTGAATGGATACGCTTAAGTATTTGTACACTGGGTACAAAAGATACGACCATATTTTCCTGAACTATTTCAAAAGGTATGGCAGAAATTACAAACGTGTTACTTTTTACACTAAATGTACGAGTTTCGAAGTACTCCGTAAGTGAAATCAAACGTGATCTTATCTATTCCCGCTGATTCCAATATTTTCTGGTGACTTTATTCATGGTAAGAAACAAATTTAGCAAAATGGCATCGCTTCCATTGAAGGAGAAAAAAAATTTTATTTCTTTATCATAAGTGTGATTACCAGTTATAGTATGGTCGGATCTTTTTGCTACACTCGGTATGGTTTATTGTTTGTTTAATGATCAAAATCTGGATTTAACGAATGTGGAAGTAAAAACCATTCATTATTTCCTACTTTATTGGTTTTTACGTACATTCTGGAAACATTAACCATCTTTAACTTTCGATAGAAACCGAAGATGCCATTTTATCAATAAATCATTTTTATGGATAAGAATCACTGCTACCATAATCGAAAATCGATTGCTATTAGATATAGTTAACAATGCGAGTGCTTCCTTTTTAACTAAATGTACATCGAAGACACCCTGATTCCCAATGACCAACTTGATGGACTATGGCTTAAACTCACTCTTTGGAGAAGTCATGTGTTCAGGAGAAGAATGAATATGATAGTTGATACTATGATATAGCTACAGTTTGATAACCAAGTTAATCAAGCACGTTATACGAATTTCCAGGTTCATCATGGGAGATGTTAGAGCTAAGCCGAGGATATATAGAGCTGTGTCCCCCAAAGGCCCAAAGACTGGTGATTTGCGTAAAACCCCGTTGTCATGGTCACGGCGTCTCGGCAGACGCTGTAAATCATCTCTTTCTCGGCTTCAGCGCTGTTTGGGAAAGAAATATGTGGTACTGCTGGTTAAGAGAGGTATGTTTATGTAACTTTTTAATGCTCATTAGTGTAAGTATAATGCAGCTAAGAGATTTACGATTATGTGCGCATTCTCCCCGTCCTTACTTCCGGTGGTCAAATTTAGTTTTTGACGAATCGTCAGAAATTTGAGACTAAAATCTTGGGAGTAAAACCTTCAGACCGCGTACGGAACAGTATTAGTGCACTCCAAAACACAAATCGTTAATCAGAAAGCCGCTAGCATGAAATGGAATTGGGCCGCATACGTCTGCCGCATGTCATGCGAGCTGTGGGTAAAGACCACAAACGCAAGATCGACGCAAGTCGTGGAAGACCCAGAAGGAGATAGCGTGACGCTAGATGCCCGTGGGTTAATGTAGCGGCGTTGAATTGCGATGAGCGGAGAAAGAAGGCCTTTGCCCAGCAGTAGGATAGCAACCGCTGAAATATGAAAATGACATGATATCTAATGCAAATTGGTGAGTAAAATTAAATTCTTCTTGCAATTATTGGGTGAGGTCGATATAATAGACACCACTCCGTCCTATTCAATGCTGTAAAAACCCGCGTGCTGATAAAATTAAATTAGATTGTATTTGTAAATAGAAGTTATATTGGAATTGTAGGAAAAAATGTGCTTTGATAATTAAAAAAATATGATCGAAATTAGAATTAACATAAAAAATAAAAGCGATACCAGTAATTCTGTGTCGTTTAACATTCTTTAAACGTAAGTGATCGTGGGCTACAATTGTGTTGTCATGAAATACAAGCGCGTGCCTTATGCGCGTGTACATGTGACTAATTAATGTATCGAAAATGAAACTCGTTATTTACAGACAATATTATGTTTCTAATTAAATTTAATAGATTATGAATTGATTCGATATGAATCGATTTATATGCGAATGCGGGAATTTAGGATTCGAAAGAGGTGCGATTATAGCAAGTGGAGTCTCATTACTTTATTGGGATAAAAGTGTGACAATATGTAGATCGGGCAGTAGCAGTAGAGCTCCATGTGAAAGAGTTCATCTAGGGAAATACTACCACCTTACCTATTTTCTGCTGTCAAGCAGTAATGTGAGAATTATAGCGTTCGGGTTTTAAAGGGTAAGGGTGCTAATGAAATTATAAGCACGTGGGACTTGTGAACTTATGTTTCAGGGTGACGTGCGAGTTACAATGCTCCTCAGATCTTTACGATTTAAACATTGATTTACAATTATATGGACGTCGGGTCCGCGCTAAAAAGTGTCCGAACTAAAGTGTCCGAACATATAGGGCCTTAAAATCGTATACAGAGCGTCATTCACGCTTTAGTCTTCGTTTGTTCGACTGACAGCGAAGCAAGCAAAATTAGACAGTACTGCGATGACATTGCAATTAAAATTCAACGTTTTAGCTTTTCATATTCCTTTACATGTCACTACGTTTAAATAGGTTGACTTGGGACATTTTTTTCGTGGTTTTTGTATTAGACCCGTCGTCCATTTATTTGTAAGTCAATGGATTTAAAGCTCTAAGTGGTACTAGAACTGCTATGGACAGATGTGTCGTTCACATCAAACACACGACTTGTTCGTCCTGTCACTTAGTATCATGAAAAAAGAATAGTCTCCCATTACTTTATTGTTGGGGGAGGGGTGTGACGATATGTATGTCAGGTTTGACAAAAAGATCCGACACAATTGTAAGAAATGACATGTTCAAATTACTCGCTACCAAAACTTATAGGGCGTATCATAATCTTACGTAGAGTTATTAGAAAAAATGTTCTCCAATTACGAACCAGTTATAAAGAATACACCGTAACATTGCTCCAAAATGTTATAACAGCTCGTATTAATACAGACTGTAACAAAAAAGACGTGTAGTCATTGTAGCGGACTGTAAAAGTGGGGTTTGAGTGGTAATGAGGAGTAAGCAAGACCAAAGAAAATTGACTCATAGTTTATTCAAAAAGCGAAACAGATTATAAGGTTTGCACGAGCATGACAGACCAAACAATAATACATCAAATAAAAAGGCGCCAAAAACAAGGGCATTTCAATTTAGAATTGTAGTCTATGTCAAATTCATAAAAATAAATATACCTATATCTAATACAAAAAGATTTGTAACAAGTAGTTATTAAATTTAATTGCAAAAATATACGTTCGACGCTTTCTACACAAATCTGTCGTCGTTTTAATATACGTAATACTATTTGGCAAGTCGTTTTCGTTGAAACTTATTTCGTATGATAAGTACTTTCACAACCCAAAAGAATTCATGTTACATCCTCTGACTACTTTTAATATGGGCACTATTCCTCTTAAAAAAATTGCAAAAATTAGCTGTCCATTTATAATTCGGTAGCGTCGGTGCGAATATTTTCAGTGGAACATCTGCTACATTTTCGCACTGCGAGAATCTCGGGGAAGATCTGCATATTAATTAGTTCGAAAAGAATTTTTAAATATTTATTTTAAAGAATTTTTCACCGTGTATGTACACTTCACAGGATTCAGAGCAAGCCTAATTCTCATTACTTGAAAGATCACGTGAATCAACCGACTCCATAGCCGTACGCGATAGAGATTTGATTCCGGTACAATTCATCAACTAACGAACCGTAGTACAAAGCGACAAATTGTTAGAAATCTGCAAAGGTTTAACTTTTGACATTTCAATGCGCAATATTCTTTTTTGCAGGGTTGTACACTTGAGATTAAAGAATATAATATTTAGCAGTAGAGCTCCTTGTGAAAGAATTCGTCCAGGGAAGTACTGCCACTTTACCTATTTTTGTCGCCAAGCATTACTGCGTTTCGGTTTTGAAGGGTAATGGGTGTTGCTGGTGAAATTACAGGCACATGGAACTTTCCAAATTAAGTCTCAGAGTGTCGGGCACAGTGGCAGTCCCCCTTAGATCTTTGCGATTTAAAGCTCTGAACGGCATTGCGACTGGTATGGACAGGCGTGACGCTTACCACCAGGCGCACGACTTGTTCGTCCCGTCACGTGGTATCATAAATAAGTATTTAGATGTAATGTTAGAGCTTAATAGAACACAATCATCGATGCAATGTAATCTGATTATTGTTATCGTATTATTCTGAGCGTGAAATTTATCGACATACTAGAGGTTGATTGATTAAGATTCTTAATTCCATAAGCAGATTACTTTCCAATCGATTATCACTAGTTCCAGATACTTACTGTATGAAATCGTTTGGGATAGTGTAATTACGCGTAACTAGCATTGGATTATGAGTTTCCATTCCGGTAATTTAATGTCCAAACAAATCCGCGTATATGTCGTGGCAATAAAATTAGCGTGATTTACGGGAATCTATTGTTGTCAGTCCGTAGACAACATAAATTAATGCTTACTGTGTAAAAATGAATATATTTGAAATTATAACCCTCGAAATAACAGAGTAATACTTTAAATCCCTTTCCTGTAAAAATTTGGTTTGTGAATTTTACCAATGCCTACATACCTACGCGGATTTGTACTATCGCCGACGAAATAACGAATATTTTAAGTTCTATATAGTTATTGAATGGTTTTCTCAAGTGTAGATATCGCACATAAAGTTTAATGTGTTGCTCTCCTTAATCGACATTTTTAACGAATTTTATAACACATGTGGGATTAGCAAAATGACATCCGCAACCTCCTGTAATTGGTTTTTTAATATATTATTAATTTCAGTTTTATTTTTAGCAATTTTTAAGTTTTGTATTGAATGTCACGATGTTTCGCTACCAAATTTATATTATTTCATACTGTTCAAATATTTTTTTTCGTTAAATTACTCCTCTAGTTTCTTACTAGACAGCAGACTGTTCATCCAACTGCAACGTTTATATATCCCTTTGCACCAACTTGTGTTCAAGACAAGATTACTACGGCAACTGCGATCAATTTGTACCTGATGCTTGTAACGTATGTAATGCCACTTGCCAGTACACTGGGAAACAATATAAAAATTATTCGTGGAAATAACGCTCTTAAATTCAGATGTTTTTCCTTTTACTTTGGTATCATCTCGCAGGGTAAACGTTAATACAAAGATCGAACACGAGAAAATTCCGGCAATCCGCATTCAGGCAATCCGTGCCAGATACTCTCCCAACTGGACTACGGAACAAACCAGCAGACCTTACGAATTTTTCTATATGTTTGTTGCGGATCTTTGTTTTTGGTTTTAAACGACTTTTTTGCCATCTCGCGATCTGTGAGAAATCAATTTCTTCAGTTTTATTGTAAACAAAATGAGCGTAGTTGGAATTTTTTTAATCATGGCATTTACCTCGAAAGTTACCGAAATGTTGCATTAGTTATTACAAGGAGGGCACTCCGTAACTGCTTGTTAGAAATCGTAGTTATTAAATGCCGCTGCATGTAATGTCCATTATGATTGAAAGTCAAGTTGCAAATTATAATTGGCAGTTTGATTCCAATGCATTAATCAAAAAGCGCGTTAATTAGAAACTGCACGTACGTCGCCCTGAAAGAAATGTCACGGTCGAGATGTCCTGAGTGCGCGAGCGACTAGTGCCTCTCCGAGCTATAGCGGTCCGCGGGCGCTCTGTGCTTTAGAGTCACAAGTAAAAAGTCACTCGATTCGGTCGCAGCAGTCATTTTCTCTACCGTGCACTACTGTTACACTATAGTTCGATAACATTTTGTTAAAAGTGACATAAATTAATGTTGTACACTTCTGTCATTCTAAATTGTGATTGTTTTTAATTTGCATTCTTTTTTCAAAAGTTTTGTGAATTTAATTAATTAAGAGCAAAGTTTAAAGTGAGTGTCATTTATACTTAAACTTAAGAATTTAAACTCTAGCAGTGTCTATATGAAGACGGATATATAGTTTCGCAAAACACAGACTTAAGAACTTAAATGGTGTTTAAGCAAGCGATTGCGTCGTGATTGGAATAATAAGGTGTAGACAGGAATAATTTCAAAGTCTTTGGGAATAACAATGCTCAGAGTTCGACGGCCTTTCCGTGGTTAC